GCCTGCGCGTGGCGCTGGTGGCCGTTGGCTGCCCGCTGGTGCTGATGCTCCGGCATGCCGCTGGGGCTCGGCCCGGGTCGGTTCGTGTGCACTGTGGGCGGGCTCCTGAAGCAGACGGGAGGAGGAGGAACAGGAGGGGGAGGAGGAGGAGGAGGAGGAGGAGGAGGAGGAGGAGGAGGAGGAGGAGGAGGAGGAGGAGGAGGAGGAGGAGGACGGCCCACGACGCGGTCGACGGCAGACGCAGGTGGCCGGCATGCCACTGAGGGTTGGTCCGTCCCCTCTCTTTTTTTGCCTCCTCCCTCCTCCTCGTCAGATGGTGCGCCGGAAATCTGCGGACGACTTGTGTGCACCGTACCGCGTTTGCGTCTCCCGAGGCGTCGTCGATCCTCGACCCAGGCAAGGTACGGTGCATAGTTTTTCGGCCCCTCAGAGCCGACAAACTCTGCACCCTACCGCGTTGGAGGTGGGGCTGAAGGGAGACCAAGCATGGTACGGTGCATGGGTACTGTTCTCGTAGGAAAAGAATCAATTCTGCGGTGAGCCTAGGGTGGAAGTGAGAGGGGGGCAGGCCTTTTCGGAGGGCGGCCTGGCTTCTCAGAAGCCCCCGTGCCTTCTGAGAAGCCGTCTTTGTATTCGGAGACGCCTTACAAACCTTCTCGGAAGGTCGGAGGCCCTCCGAGCCTTCCGAGAAGGTCCGCTCCCCCTCCTCCTCAGGTCCGCTCCCCCTACTCCTCGTTCTGCTCCTCCTCCTCCTCCTCCTCCTTCTCCTCACTTCCCCCAGGGCTCGCCGCCGAACATCGCTGCCCTTCGAGGGGCCTGGGCAGGCCGTTCCCCAGCTGGGGCCAGCGGGTTGCCTCGCGGGCGTCGCGGGGCCGCTCCCGCGGTGGGAGGGAGCGGCGCGCCAGCGAGTGCCGGCGGTCGGAGGCGACTCTGTGGGCGAATCTAGCCGAGCGGCGGGCATGACACCTCTGCGCCCGGGAGCCTCGCCGAAGGCATGGACCCTCGGCGCCCTCGGATACATCTGCTTTCCCCCAGGCGTATATTCGCCCCCATCGTCGCCCCCGAGGCGGCGGCAGCGGCAGGCAGCCCTTGCCCTCCGGCGCACGGGGAGGCCCAGCCCGCGGTGGTGCCGAGCACGGCCACCGGCAGGGGGTCCAGAGGTCCAGCGCATGGAGAAGCACGGGCGGAGGTGCTTCGCCGTGGCCGGCCTCTGTATAGGGGCCCCCGCCGGGCCTCGTGGGCTCAGAAGTCGGCTCGGGAGGAAGCGCTGGTCCGGGGCAGTGGGTCGAGGCTCCCGGGGGCGCCGTGCAGTCAACCCGCACAGCAAGGATGGGCACCCTTCCCAAGGGCACCCTCTTGCATCCTTGCCTCCTCGGTCCGTCCTTGGCCACTTTCGTGGGCCGCGCCCCGCCCGAAAAGCTTCGGCATGGGCGTCCAAGGCCCTTGCAGCCCTATCGCGCGCCCTTCCCATACGGGTTGATCGTATCGACAGAACCACGTCATCGGATCTCTGGGTGACGATTCGCCTCTGCCGGCGGCGGCGCGCACGCGCACGCGCACGCGCACGCGCGCAGGCGCACGGGAATACCACGGCAGGCCGGCGCACCCCGCCCGGGCCCTGCGGGCACTGGCAGCACCGCCCTGCACGGTCTGACATCCGCCCACCTCCTCTGACATCCGCCCACCTTGCCCCCCCCCCCCCCCCCCGAGGTCCCGACCTCCTAGGCCTCCTTGATGGGATCCGAGTGTATGGGGTCGGAGGATTGCGCCGCATCGGCGACGCGTCGGCGATCGCCGATGCATCGGCGATGCGGCGCGGTCTTCCGACCCCATCTGCTCTCCCATTCGGGAGGCCTCTAAGAACGCTTCCCTGGGGGTGGCGTTTCTCGGAGAAAAGGCATGAACATATGAACTTTGGAGCTCCGCGCGGATTTCGTGGATCTGTGCTGGACCCCCCTGCGCGCCAGGGAGGGGTCCCAGCGCGGATCCAAGAAATCCGTGCGGAGCTCCGAAAGTTTTTTTTTTTTTTTTTTTTTTTTTTTTTTTTTTTTTTTTTTTTTTTTTTTTTTTTTTTTTTTTTTTTTTCTCGTTTCGGCCCCGATCCATTTCTGATGGTCCCAAAGCACGAAAGGGGGCCCCATGAGGTCGGGATCGTGGAGAAAATCACGCCCAGGTGGACCAAAAAGCAGATCGTTAAATCGGGCACGTCCCTCTACCGGAGGAATCTTCCCAACTAGTAAAAAAGTAGTCTGGGGGCGATTTTTTTGGACTATGTTTGACCATTCTGGAGTATTTTTGGATCATATTTTACTTCTTCGTCCCAAATCCCCCTGCAGGGGGACTTGCCCGACCTGAGCAGATCGTCGAAGACCTGGGCTTCTTTGGTCCGCTCCGGCGCTGCCGCGCAGAGGCGGCCGCGGGGGATCCCCGCCGCTCCCGCGGAGAGTCGGGGCGGGAGCCTGCCCCGTCTGCGGCCTCCCGCGGCCACGACCCCGAGTGCTGAGCTCGGGGGTGGACGTGCTTCCCCAGACATGATCGCGTCGTTCAAACATCAGGACCGGAGGTTTTTTGGGCTGTTTTTGGCCCCGGGGGGGCCCTCGCCGCGAGAGCGTCAAGAGACGACTCAGGACCACGGACTGGTCCCAGGGAAGGGGCCCTGGACTTCCGGGGGCGCCGTGCTGACAAAGTCGGGGCGTCGCACGTCTGGGCAGAGGGGTGAGGCTCCGCCGCTTCCTCCCTCCTCCTCTCTGCCAAACTCAGGACGGCAAAAGACTCAGGACCACAGACTGTTCCCGGGGAAAGGGCCCTGGACTTCCAGGGACGCCGTGCTGAAGAAGTCGGGGCGCCGCCTGTGTCTGGGTCCGTCTCGGGTCGGCGCACTGGCGCGCCCCGGTGCCCCCATTCGCGGGGCTGCTCTGCCCTGCCTCGTTGGGAGGGATAGCCGGGGGCGCGCCTCGCCCTTTCTGCCCGCGGTGGGCAGGGCGTCTGCGCGGCCGCGATGACCGCCGGGAGGCCCCGTGTGGCGGCCTCGCTCGCAGCCTCGGTCGCGCGGGTTTGGGGCGGCGGCCGTCGCCGTCGTGGTTACCGCCGCCGCCGCCGCCGCGGGCCGCTGCCGCCACTGGCTGCCGCCGTCGCCGTCGCCGTCGCCGTCGCCGTCGCCGTCAGCATCGTCGCCGCCGCCGTCGTCGTCGCCGCTAGCATCGTCGCTGCCTTCGGGGGCGAAGCAGCGCAAAGCAGAGCAACGTCGAGGAAGTCCGGGGCCTCGGCAAGGAGCCGGGGGAGGAGGCGGGTGGGGGGCAGCCTCAAGTCGGGCACGTCCCTCTACAGGAGGAGTATTCAAAAATAGGAACAAAAAATAGTCGGGGGACGATGTTTCGATGATTTCTGAATTCTTTTTGGAACACTTGTCGGATTTCTTCCAACTTCTACCCCCGAATCCGCCTGTAGTACAGTCGGGGCCCTGAAGAAGGAACCCCTTTGGTTGGGGAGGGGCTCCGCGTTCCTTACGTGTTTCACAGTTTTCCCTCCTGCTTTCGATCGGAAATCGAAGTCTAACTTATGGGAGAAAGGGGCCTCGTTCCTTATTTAGGGTTCCTCAGGTCAACGCCCCGACGGTAGGACATGCCCGACCTACGGGTTCTCCCCAGCACCCGCCCAGACCCCCCTGGGGAGTCGAGGCGCTCTCTTTTGACACTACTAGAAACCTATCAGTCTTCACTGTTAGGTATAATAGGAACGAATAGTCGGGGGACGATGTTTCGATGATTTCTGAATTCTTTTTTTGAATACTTGTCGGATTTCTTCCAACTTCTACCCCCGAATCCGCCTGTAGTACAGTCGGGGCCCCGAAGAAGGAACCCCTTTGGTTGGGGAGGGGCTCCGCGTTCCTCAAGTGTTTCGCAGTTTTTCCTCCTGCTCCCGATAGGACATCGAAGTTTCACTTAGGGGAGAAAGGGCCTCGTTCCTTATTCCCAGACCCCCGACGTAATGTTTTTTTCATTACGTCGACCCCCAGAGGTCTGGACCCTTTCCCCATGACCGGCTTTGCATCCTGAGTCGTTTTTGGACGCTCCCGAGGCCCGGTGAGGGACCCCAGAGACCGAAAATTTGGAAAAACATCCCGTCCTGATATTTTCATTGCCCGAGGGGGTCTGGGTTTAGGGTTCCTTAGGTCAACGCCCCGACGGTAGGACGTGCCCGAGCTGCGGGCAGCCCCCCCGGGCGAGGCCTCGAGCGCCCGGCGGGTGGGCAGGGCACCTCCGAGGGAGCCGAGGAGCCGGGCCCCCTCGGCAGCCCCCTCGGCAGCCCCCGCGCGGGCCCCCGCGGCAGCGCGGGCCCGCGGCGGAGGCGGGCGACGCGCGACGCCGCCAGATCCCCAGACCCCCTCGGGTAATGAAAAGATCAGGACGGGATGTTTTTCCAAATTTTCGGCCTCCGGGGGCCCTCACCGGGCCTCGGGAGCGTCCAAAGACGACTCAGGATGCAAAGCTGGTCATGGGGAAAGGGTCCAGACCTCTGGGGGTCGACGTAATGAACAAATCATTGCGTCGGGGGTCTGGGGCTGAGGCGGGCACGCGCGACGCCGCCACCGGCCCCGAGGTCCGGGCGACGCATTTTTTTTGACTCCGGGGGTGCTCGCCTTGCTCTGTCGACCGAGAACGGACCGACGCCACCCCAACCTGCGGCCCTCCATGCTGCGCTACGGCCCACCGGGCGCCGTGGCGTATACCACGCGAAAGCCCACGCCAGATTTCCTGGCATACGCGAAGGCCCCTGGTGCCGCAGGTGGGGTGGTGTCGTTCGTTTTCTGGTCCATTCTGGGCGCCTGGATCAGCACAGATCAATCCAGCTCCGAGGACGCAGCGGGGGCCCCGGTCGTGATTTCTAACGATTCAGTTTTTGTCGCAGCGTCGGACGGGTCTCGGGGGAGGGATATTGACAACGGGGTCGCCAGCTCATTTTTTTTTTTTTGCGCGCGGCTGCTCGAGCCAGGCCGGTCCCCGAGGGCCACGCGTGGCCCGCAGCGGGGCACCGAAGCGGCCGCCCTTCTCACCCCCATGCCGCGGCCACCTCCCCGGGCGCGCCCCGCGGCGCGCGCGCGCCTGGGCGCTGCGCGCCCGCGCGCGCTTGCGGGAGGCCGGTGGCCTGCATGGCGGGCGGCGCCGGGGACGATGAGGCCGCGTGGATCGAGGCCGAGCTGCAGCGAGAGCTGGACGCGATGGGCCCCGTCTCGGACGACTCGGACGGCGAGCTGGGCCTCGAGGGCGGCGAGCCGCGGCCCTCCGGGCGGCGGGCCTCCGAGGAGGAGTGCCTCGCCTGCGGCGGCAGCGGGTGCGGCCTGTGCCGGAAGGCCGCCGGCCCGGACGACGGAGCGGAGCGCGGGCCGCCGGCCAGCTTCCAGGAGCTCGCGCGCCGCCTGCAGGAGTGGGGGGAGGCCATGCAGGAGGACCTCGCCGAGGAGCAGCGGGTGGCCGCGCGCGCCGCCGAGAGCCTGGAGGAGGCCGTGCGGGAGCAGCCGCCCGAGCCCGAGGGCCTCGCGGAGAGGGCGGCCAGCGGCCTCGAGGCCGGCGAGGCCGCGGAGCTGAGCGAGCTGGAGCGGGCGGCGCTCGGCGAGGCCGCCGCCGAGGTCGCGAGGATGCGGCAGCAGGCCAGGGAGGATGCGGCAGCGGGCGGCAGGCCCCCGCCAGGCCGCGAGGCTGCGGCAGCAGGCCCGAGCCCGCGGAGCCCGCGGAGCCCGCGGAGCCCGCGGAGCCAGGCGCCCGCCGCGGCCGAGGAGGCGGCCCTGCTGGCGGCGAGCGCGGGCGCCGCCGCGGAGCCGCGTGCGCCGAGCGCCGGGAGCCCGCGCGCGGCGCCAGAGGCCCGCGGCGCGGCGGAGTCGCCCGCCGAGGTGCGGGGGGCCGCCGCCGCAGCGGACGAGCAGGAGGGCGCAGCGCAGCGCGCCGAGCTGGAGGAGGGCCGCGCGCCGCGGGCCGCGCTGGAGGAGCTGGACCTGGAGCGCCAGGTCGAGGAGGAGCGGCGGGAGCGCGTGCAGGAGCTGGAGAGGCGCGAGCTGGAGGCCGCTGAGCGGCTCCGCAGGGAGGAGCGGGCGCGTCGGGAGGAGGAGGACCAGACCCGCGAGCAGATCCGCATGCACTCCGAGGAGATGCTCGAGCGGGAGTTCTGCCGCCTCCTGAGGAGGGAGCGGCGCGCGCTCGAGGCGGAGGACCGTCGCGCAGCCCGCCTGCGCGACGGGCAGCGGGCCGCGGAGGAGAGGGCCGCCAGGGACCGCGAGGCCATCGAGCGAGCCGCGATGTCCAGGGAGGAGGCGCTCGCGTCGAGGGTGCGGGAGCGTGAGCGCGAGGTCCTGGAGGCCGCGGCGCTCCTGGCACAGGACCTGGAGAGCGCTTCCTGGCGCGACCGCGTGCGGGCCGAGGAGCAGAGGTGCTGGGAGGAGCAGCGCCTCCGGGAGGACCGCCGCCGCATGGCGCTGGGCGACGACCAGTCGCGGCGATGGGAGGACAACGCCCGGGCGCTGTACGAGGCCCGCCGGATGGCCACCGAGGACACGCACTCGCTGGCGCTGAGGCACATCGAGCCAGAAGCCGCCGTACGCAGGAGGAGGCTTGCCTTGGACGCCGCCTCCGATCTGCACTTCGACAGCCTCCCGGTTTCTGCGGCACCGCCAGGCAGCAAGCCAGCAGGGCTGCTGGCGGCGCTCCTGCGCCCGGGCCAGAAGGCTGCAGCAGCGGCGGCGGGCGCTGGCCCGCAGGTGGAGCCCCGCACGGGCGACGGCGGCCCAGGCCCCCCCGAGGCCCACCGCCTGGACCCCTGGGCGGGCACCGCTGCCTCCCGAGTGGATCGCGCAGCGGCTGGGCGTGGACGGCGTGGACGCGCTCCGCTGCTGCGGAGCCTCGGTGGCATGAGTGTCGAGCTCGTGCCGCCGCTGCTCGAGTGCTGCGCGGCCTCGGGCCACCGGCCGGACAGCCTCCGCGAGGACTGCGCCTCCTGCAGGGCCTACCGGCAGGCGCGTCGCGACCACGACTTCGCCCTGTCCGCGCTGGAGGCGGCCAATGCTGCGACGGCCACGCCGTCGTCGTCCTCTGCGTCCGGTGCCGCCCAGCGCGGCGGCGGCCCGCCGGCCGGTGCCGGCTCCGCCGGCGCCTGCGGCGGCGAGCTGTGCCGGTGCCTCGCGGAGGACGCCGTGCGCTGGGGCGGCGGGTCGCTGCAGGCCCGGCGGCGCGGGCCGGCCGAGGCCGCTGCCGCGGCCCCGCGCGCCCGCTGGCCGCGCGGAGAGCCGCTGCGGGCGGCGGCGGTCTTGCCGGGCGTCGAGGCGGGCGAGCTGTTAGACGGCATGCCTGCTGGGGACCTGGTGCGGTTGGAGCTCCGGATGGAGAGCCTGGAGGACATCCCAGCTCTTGGGTGCGCCCCGGAGCTGCGCATTCTTCTGCTGACGGGCAATCGCTTGAGGGACTTGGCCCCGCTCGTGCACTGCCCGCGCCTGGAGGAGCTCTCGCTCTGTCAGAACTCGCTCACGTCCCTGAGAGGCGTTCAGGGCTTGTCGAGGCTGGTCGTACTGAAAGCCACGATGAATGAGCTCACCGACGCGTCGGACCTATCTGGGCTTAGGGCTCTGCGGCACGTCGAGCTCAGCAAGAATCGGCTGGAAGAGGTGCAGCTCCGAGCACCCGGCCTCGCCAGGCTCGTCCTGTGTCGCAATGCGCTCTCGTCCGCTGAGTTCTTAGAGCACCTCCCGTCGCTGACAGAGCTGGACCTCGGCAGGAACAGGATCACCTCTCTGGACTCGAGGGTGTCGGAGTGGAACCCTTTGCTCATCAAGCTGTTTCTCTACGAGAACAGAATCGGGGCGCTTCCGAAGTTCAGGCTGCCACTGCTCACAGACCTCTGGCTGGACGGCAACTCCCTGGAGGCCCTCGGGCCCCTCGGCTTCCTGCCCTCCCTCGAGCGGCTGCAGGCCAACAACAACCAGATACGCGCGCTGGCCTCGCCCATCGCCGCGAGCCCCCTGCTGCAGGCGCTGCAGCTGGCCTTCAACCAGCTCGGCCCCTCGGAGCCTCCGAGGGCGGTCCCTCTGCACCCGAGGCTCCGCCACCTGCAGCTCAACGACAACCCGGTGGCCTCCGAGCTCATGGAGGCGTACCGGCCCTGGGCCCTGCGGCTGGCCCCGCAGCTGGAGGAGCTCGACAACGAGCCCGTCACGGAGGGCGAGCGGCTCACCGCCGTGGCCGCGCAGGCCGCCGCCGACCCCTCGCTGCCGCACTGCCTGGCCGCCGCGGCGGCCGCGGGCGGCGGGCTGCCCACGGCGCCGCTGGCCGAGGGCCGCTCGGCGGCGGCCCCTGCCGCCGCGCGGCGGGGCGCGGAGGGAGCGGGCGGCCTGCTGGGGCTCGTCGCGGCCGCCTCGGTGGCAGGCGGCTCGCCCGCGGCTGGAGCAGGCGAGGAGTGGGCGCCGTCGGCGGGCAGCGCTGCCCCGGTGCGCCGTGGTGCTGCCCCCTCGGGGCTCGACGCGCGCGGCGTGATGGGCGTGCAGCGCGCCGCCTGTCTGGGGCGCTGGCGCGCGGCGGCCTCGGGCGGCCATGCTGGCGAGGGCGGCTGCGAGATGTGCAGGCTGACCGCCTGGTGCGGTGCCGCGGCGTCCTCGCGCAACGCGGCGCTCGTGGCCAACAGCAGGGAGGAGCGGCGCAGCACCACGCCCGCGGCGGCCGGCAGCGGAGTGCTCCGCGAGGAGGCGCTGCTCGTGCTGCGGAGGCGGCGGGACTTCTGGGCTTCCTTCCTGGACGCCTGCGGCAGCCACTACGACGCCCTCTCCCCGTGGCGAGGCGCTGGTCACCCGGGGGCGGGCGTGTGCAGGCTCGGGGCCTTCGAGGTGCCAGGAGCGGAGAGGTCAATGCACCAGGTGGCGCTGCTGCTGCAGGCGCGGCGGCGTGGCGCGCTGGGCAGGCGGCGGGCCGCAGACAGGCGGCTGCGGCGCAGGTGCGCCAGTCTCTCGGACGCTCATGTCAAGCAGCTGACCTCCGTGCAGGCACGCTGGCGTGGAGCCAGGGCGCGCTCTCGGCTGCGAGCCTGCGGGGCACCGCTGCCTGGGGACGAGTGGCGGGCCACGCGCGCCCGCGCGGCGGCAAAGCTGCAGGCGGCCGCGCGGGGGTGGCGCACCAGGCGCGCGCTGCGCCGGGCACGCGAGGCTGCCAGGGCGGCGGCGGCGGCCGAGGACGACCTGGAGGAGATGCCCGAGATCGACCTCGGTTGGGCCGAGGATGCCGCGGACATGGCGGACCCGTTCGCACTGCACCTGCCATCGCCGTCCGCGGCCCGAGCTCTGCTCCCGCGGGCGCCACCGGCGCCCGCCCAGCCGCAGGGCGCCGCCGGTGCGGCGGGCGCGCGCGACCTGCTGCAGAGGCTGCCCGCCGACGGCCCTGCGGGAGCCGCTGGCGCGGGCGGCGCGCCCGCGATGGCCTGGGGCACGCCCCCGGGGTCGGCCTCGAACCCGCCCGCTGGCCAGCGGCACTCGCGCCCCGCGTCTCCCAGCCTCGCGGGCTCCCCGGGCAGCAGCCGCTCCGGTGCCGAGCCCCTGCGCCGCGCGCGCTCCTTGTGCTCCACGGCGGAGTCGGCGAGGCCCGTGACGCCCGACGGCCACCGCCACGTGAGCCGTGTGGTTCAGGTGCGGGAGGAGCAGGGGCAACGTTAAGGGGGGCATTTTTGGTTTCCGAACGATTTCGGACGTTTTCGGACGGTGATTTTTGTTCGGACGTTTCCATAGGTTCTCGGTAGCTTTCGGGCCTCGGGGTGTTTACCAGCAGCAGCGCCTCGCCGAGAGCGTTCCAGGGGTGCGCGGATCGTCCCGAACGGTCGACGGAGAGCCGAGTTATGACCCGAAAACCATTGCGCAGCGTTTGGGTGGAATACAGACAACCCGCATAGTAAGGATGAGCAAATTTCCAATGCTACCCTCGCATCCTTCCCCTTCGGCCCATTAATGGCCGCTTTCGCTGGCCGCGCCCCGCTCGCAACGTGTCGACATGGCCTCCCAAGACCCTTGCGTCCTGATCGTGCCAATCTACTCTGGATGGGACAAGAATCGCCCCCCCTTGAATCCGCTGGGGGGGTTGGGCACGTGCTGTCGGCACGGGTGGAGGGGGGGTTGGAGGGGGTGGTGGAGGAGGAGGAGGAGGAGGAGGAGGAGAGGAGGAGGAGGAGGAGGAGGAGGAGGAGGAGGAGGAGGAGGAGGAGGAGAGGAGGAGGAGGAGGAGGAGGAGGAGGAGGAGGAGGAGGAGGAGGAGGAGGAGGAGGAGGAGGAGGAGGAGGAGGAGGAGAGGAGGAGGAGGGAGGAGGAGGAGGAGGAGGAGGCGGAGGAGGAGGAGGAGGAGGAGGAGGAGGAGGAGGAGGAGGAGGAGGAGGAGGAGGAGAGGAGGAGGATGAGGAGGAGGAGGAGGAGGAGGAGGAGGAGGACGAGGAGGAGGAGGAGGAGGAGGAGGAGGAGGAGGAGGAGGAGGAGGAGGAGGAGGAGGAGGGGGGGCATGGGCAAGCTCCGTCGGAGGGTCAGTCGCCCACCCCTCGATCAGCACCCCACACAGAACAGGCCCTGCGGGGGTGCATCGGACCCCCCGTCGCCCGCTGGTCGCCGAAAGGGGGGCCACGCCCTGCCCGGGAGCGGGCGGATGCACGGGGCCGGGGCGTCGCCGACGACAGGCCGACGATAGTCAATTATCCCGGCAAAGCAACCTCACAGCGATGTGTAGAAGCATATCTGAAAGCATTCCCCTTAAGATTCAGATGAAAATCCAGTTGTAGAATTCTGCTGTTCTCGCAGTCGTAGTCGCATTCGCGATGACAGTCGCAGCGGCAACGGCAGTCGCAGTCACAGCCTCAGCCTCAGCCTGCCTCAGCCTCAGCCTCAGCCGCCTCAGCCTCAGCCTGCCTAAGCCTCAGCCTCAGCCTGCTTCAGCCTCAGCCTCAGTCTGCCTTCAGCCTCGGCCTCAGCCTCAGCCTGCCTCAGCCTCAGCCTGCATCAGCCTCAGCTCAGCCACAGCTCAGCCTCAGCCTGCCTCAGCATCAGCCTGCTTCAGCCTCAGCCTCAGCCTGCCTCGCCTCAGGCCTCAGTCTGCTTCAGCTCAGCCTCAGTCTGCCTTCAGCGCTCGGCCTCAGCCTCAGCCTTGCCTCTAGCCTCAGCCTGCCTCGGCCGCAGCATCAGCCTGCCTCAGCATTCAAAATGTGGCCCAGGAATGGAGTTCTGGGAACTAGAAGAACACGAAGTGGCCTACAGTTGGACCGGGCATTCAAAATCATGCCCAGGAATGGAGTTCTGGGAACTTGAAGAGCACGAAGTGGCCTACAGTTGGCTCTGGGCATCCAAAATGTGGCCCGGGAATGGAGTTCTGGGAAATCGAAGAGCACGAAGTGGCCTACAGTTGGCTCCGGGCATCCAAAATGTGGCCCGGGAATGGAGTTCTGGGAAGTCGAAGACCACGAAGTGGCCTACAGTTGGCTCCGGGCATCCAGAATGTGGCCTGGGAATGGAGTTCTGGGAGCACCAAGAGCGATTTTACGAGGATGTCCCAAGCGATTTGGGCTTCGGCGGCACCGCCCCGGGTCCCGCCCCGACCCCCCTGTGGAGTCATCTGCTGCTCTCTTTTGAGACCACTAGAAACCTATCAGCAAAAGCTGTTTGGTAAAAACCAGCCTGGGGGCGATTCTGTTCGACCATCTTGACCATCCTGGAGCATTTTTTTTGACTACTCTTAACTTTCCATGCCGAGTTCCCCCGTAGGAGGACATGCCCGACCTAAAGCTCGTGGGCGAACCACGCGCAGATATCCGTAGCCGCGGCCTCGCAGGCCAGGCCCCTGGGCCCCGACCCCGCAGACACGGGGCGTTGGCTCGCGGGTGCCCTGCGTGGACCGTCCGCAGTGCGATCCCGCGCGTCCGCGGGATCGCGCCCCAGAACCCAGGCCGCGAGGGCACGGAGACGGCTGTGTGTTCGCCGCTCGCGAGGAGCTGGCCCACCCATCCCCCCAGCGTTGCCCCTCAGACCCAGACCGCCTGCGTTCCACTTTTTTTTTTTTTTTGTGGCGCGGGTCCCCCCGGGCTTTTCCGACCACTGCCCCGGGACAGGTTTTTCCTCCCGCGCCGTTCCTGGACGGTCCCAAGGCCCGATAAAGGGCCCCGAGAGGCCGAAAACTATTGCAATAGGGAAACGAGCAATCACGTAAACATAGAAACTCAGATCGGATTTCTCTCGGGGGTCTGGGGGGGGTCTGGGGGGGGAGCAGGGCGATGAGAAAAGGATTGCGGGGAGGACTTCGAGGAGGGCTTCGAGGATTTCGGGGATCTTCGAGGATCCCGAGGTAAACATGATAACTCGGAGGTCCGCGCGGACTTCTCGGATCGGCGCCGGACCTTCCCCCCTGGCGCGCGGAGCGCGCCAGGGGCGGCGCCGGAGGCGCCGCCCCTGGGGGCCCCAGCGCTTTACCTCGGGATCCTCGAAGATCCCCGAAATCCTCGAAGCCCTCCTCGAAGTCCTCCCCGCAATCCTTTTCTCATCGCCCTGCTCCCCCCCCAGACCCCCGACGTAATGATTTTTTCATTACGTCGACCCCCAGAGGTCTGGACCCTCTCCCCATGACCGGCTTTGCATCCTGAGTCGTTCTTTGACGCTCCCGAGGCCCGGCGAGGGCCCCCGGAGGCCGAAAATTAGGAAAAACCTCCTTGCCTCGATTTCTTGCCTCGACCCGCCGGGCGCCCGCCGAGGAGTGGGGCTTCACGGACGACGAGACCGCGCGGCGCTTCCTGCAGGCCAAGGGCCACCGGCAGCAGCGGCCGCCGGCGATGCCCGGGCCCGGCGCCGCCCGCGCGGGCGCGGCGGCGGCTCCCGCCCGCGGCGGCCGCGGCGGCCCGCTCGCCCGAGGGGGCGGCGGCGCCGGGCGCGCGGGCGGTGCCTCGGCGCCGCCGAAGGCGACCACCAAGGCCCAGGACGCGAGGAGGGCGCGCCGAGCGGCGCGCGCCGCAGAAGGGAAGCAGGGCGGGAGGTCTTGAGCCAGGTTCGGCCCCGGGGGGCCCTCGCCGGGCCTGTCCCGGGGGAGGGGTCGGGACTTCCAGGGACGCCGTCCTGAAAAAATGAGGACGTCGCATGTCTGCGGGGGCAAGCGGCGTAGACGTCCAGGGTCGACACGGCACGAGCCTGCCGTGCAAGTACGGGGAGGGTGTTGGATAAGAGTCTCTAGAAGCCTCCCAGGTGGGGTCAGAACAGATGGGGTCGGAGGATCGTGCCGCATCGCCGATGCATCGGCGATGCGGCTCGAAGCGGGGCCCGATCTTCTCTGTGCCGACGGCGTTGATGCGTCGCCGACGTCGGTGATGCGGCGCGATCCTCCGACTCCATCTATCCGGACCCTAATGAAGAGGCCTATAACAAGGACCCACTGGAAAAGCAACCCAGGGTCTTGAAGGCGGTGGAGCTGCAATCATGGATTGGCCATTGATTTCACCGCCGTCCTCATTAGATCAGGAATCCTCCAGGGCCTGAAGCGGCGCTGGATCCCCATCTCTTGTGCGCGGAGCTCGCCCGGGGAGGAGGAGGAGGAGGAGGAGGAGGAGGAGGAGGAGGAGGAGGAGGAGGAGGAGGAGGAGGAGGAGGAGGAGGAGAGGAGGAGGAGGAGGAGGAGGAGGAATTCGCGGGGAGCGCCGAAAGTTTCTCCACGACGCTGCTCCTTCCCTTCCGAGGACGCCATCGCCGAGTTCCGGCGCCTGCAGGAGGCCGAGGGGGCCCTCGAGTTTTCGAGCGGGGAGCCGAACGTCAAGCTGATGAGGTTCTTCGGGACAAACTTGCGGGAACATACATTCCTCAAGCTTCGCGTGTTCCCTCCTCCCCCCCATCCTCCTTCTCCTCCTCATCCGCCTCCTCTCCTCCTCCTCCTCCTCCTCCTCCTCCCGCTGCTCCTGCTCCTCCTCCTCCTCCTCCTCCTCCTCCTCCTCCTCCTCCTGGTCGGTTTTTGCTGGACCAGTTGCCAATGATGTCTTCTGATCGCGCGTGTAGGTTTTCCCGCACTTGCTGTGCACTTGTGTCCCGCCTGCCCTTCCGGGGACCGCTCCGTCGGAGCCGGCACGCAGGCTGAAACTGAAGCTGAAACCACCAGCCCGTTCAGAAGCGTTGCTCATGATCGTAAACTGGAGCATATACATTACCAGTGGCGGGCTGTTTTCCAATCCCAGGACCGTTTAGGGGTCGGGGACGACGTCGGGGTGGTGTGGTGTACTTACAAAAATCCGTTTCCAATGGAAACAACGAAACATGTGTACACCAGGATTCCGTGTACATCAGGATCCGTTTTCCTGTGCAATTTTCAATGCAGGGCTGGAAACAGCGTCGGTGTATTGAGTTCGTTTCCATAGAAGGAGATACATATAGTGGAACAACTCGAGATCTCGGGGAGCAAGGGCGTGACCTTGGGGTGCCTCTTCGGACCATCCCTGGGGCTCGCGAGTGGGCGAGGGGAGGAGGAGGGGGGAGCATACCGCCTGTTGGGGCCCTCGTGGGACGCTCTTGGGCGCTCTTGGGGCCGTCTTGGGCCCTCTTGGGGCCCTCTTGGGGCTCTTTTGGGGCCGCTTGGGTGCCCTGTCAGGCCTCTTGGGGCCATCTTGTAGGGCGTCGATCAAAGGAGGGGGGGGGGGTCCTAGATTTGCTCCCCCTTCTGGGGTCCGCAACGCCGCCCCTTGGAGCTCCTCTTGGAGCGCTCTTGGGCGCTTTCGGGACCGTCTGGGGGCCTCTTGGGTCCCTCTGGGGGCTCTTTTCGGGCCATCTTGGGGCAATCTCGAGTCTTCAAAGGCGCGACAAGGCGAGAAGGCATACATCATTTATTCCCCTTTTGGTGTTTGAAGGATTTGGGCCTCTTGGGGGTCCTGGAGGGGGCTCCGAGAGCACTCGGAACCGTCCTGTGTCCCTTGGAGGTATGTCGGAAGCTACCTTGAACCATCTTCGGCTATCTCGAGCCATCCTGGAGGCCATCATGGAGCGTCGGACGCCTCGTGGGAGCCATCCTGGGCCATCTTGGGTCAGGGGGACAGGGGGAGGGTGCCCCTAATCGAAAGGACGAGGGGTTGTGAAAGAGGAGTGCAAGAACTCCTTGGACCACCTGCGCCCAGAGGGCTGGTGGGATTCCTCGGAGCTTCGCGCTGGGCGCCCCTGGCGGCGCCTCCAGCGCCGCCCCTGGCGCGCTCCCCGCGCCAGGCAGGGGGGCCCAGCGACGGTCGAAGCGTGGTCTGTGAAGTTCGTTTCGTCTTTCGATTTGTGTTCTCGCTGAATGGCGGCCTCATCTCGTTTTTCGTTTTCGTTTGGCACCCGTTTCGTTCTAAACGTTCGTTTTCAACGTTCGGTTTCGTTTCGTTTTTCATTCTAGGCGCCAGCGCGTTTTCAACATCGTTGGCGTCGGTCCCTGGAGAAATCCGTGCGGAGCTACAGTGGAAACCCATGCCAAGAACCACCTTGCTTGCCTGCAGGGTGCCCTGGGCATCTTTGGATTCGATGGTTCTGCTATGGAGAGCGCGACGTTCCCTCCAAAAAATCAGTGGACGTCCTGGGGTCTCAGGGTTTGGGCTTCTTGTGGAAGGTTTCTTGTGGTCGAGCTCCCACCGTAGTATACATTGCCAGGGCTCATTTGGATTCTCCCGATTCGATTCGATTCGATTTCGGTGGCTTCCGGTTCCGATTCGATTCGGCTTCGGATTCTGATTTGGCCTCCGATTTCTCATTGGAGGCCTACTCGCCTGCCGATTTCCGCCGACTCGACTTCTCCCGACTCGGCCGCCGGTTTCCGCGGATCCGCCTCACTTCGACCGCCGATGCGACGTCTCGACTCGGAGCTGGGCCCTCCTGCGCTGCGCGCCGCGCCGCTCTCCTCGGAGGGCACCAACTATACACCAACACCGATCCTGGTCAGGATCACCCTGGGCCCAGGATCGGTGTATACGCCCTCCTGCCCTGGGCAAGAAGGCATATACACCGATCCTGGGCCCAGGGTGGTCCTGGCCAGGATCGGTGTTGGTGTATAGTTGGTGCCTTCCTATCTCCCGCTGCCCGCGAGGAGCTCCCGCGGGTGGCAGCAGGCCAGCAGCTCTGGCTCGCCGCGGCACCGCAGCCCGTGCCCGACGCCCTGAGGGCCGGGTGGGGTCGGAGGCAGGCGGGCGGCAGGCTCTGGAAGGTCAGGGAGGAGGAGGAGGAGGAGGAGGAGGAGGAGGAGGAGGAGGAGGAGGAGGAGGAGGAGGAGGAGGAGGAGAGGATAGGAGGGGGAGGAGGAGGAGGGGAGGAGGAGGGAGGAGGAGGAGGAGGAGGAGGAGGTCAGGGAGGGGCAGGAGCGTGTCCTGCAGTCAACCCGTGCAGGGGGTGCCCGGGGCTTCTCGGGCTTCGGCGGTTACGCGGTGGGGAGCGTGGCGTCCCCACACCGTGAATCCACGGGCGTCCTGCAGGGTCTCGGGGTCTCGGGCTTCTTGTGGAAGGTCTCTCGTGGTCGAGCTCCTCCTGTAAGGGCGAGCGACTTTCCAAGGTCACCCTTGCATCCTCATCCCTGGCCGCTTTCGCTGGCCGCGCCCCGCGGGCAAGGTGTCGACATGGCCTTCCAAGGCCCCTGCATCCCTGTCGTGCGTCCTCCTTGTGTACGGGTTGCCTGCAGACAGGGTCGCGTCGTCACGAACAAGACTCACGACGGGAGGTCTTTGGGTCCACGCCCGGCCTCTGGGGGCCCTCGCCGGGCCCACGTCGCAGGTCTGGGGTCGGGCGTTGCCAGGGGTGGCCCTGGCCCAAGGTGGCCCCAACCGTCTCCCAGGGAGGCCCAGGAGACCTCCAGAGCACCCCTCGCGAGGCCTCGAGGGCATGCAGGGGCCCCACAGGGAGCGAGAAGCTGGGGGCACCTGGAGCTCTGGGAGCACCCCTGGCAACACCCGAGCGCGAGATCCTGCATGCCCGCGTCTCGCTGCTCCGTAGACGCTCGCCGGCTGAGATGTGGGTGTGCGCGCGTTCGCAAAACAGAGGCGGAGGCGCGCGTACAGCCGTGCCCGCATCGTTTCGGCCGCCTTTCTGCTCCTTCCTCCCCTGACCTCCGACGCAGTGATGGTTTCGCAACGTGGGGCCCCGGATGTCTCGAGCGCTTCCCTGGGACCGGCGTTCTCACCCCGATCGGCGTTCTCACCCCGATCCATCAGCGAGGGCTCCAGGGCCAGAAACGGCCAACAACCCGGCGTCGAGATTTGTCCACGGCTCGAGTCAGAGGAGAAACAAGAACCGATATTGCTACCTTTCTTTCGTCGCCACGGCTGGACTCGCCTCGAAATCCCGGCCAGAACGCACCTCAGGAGAGGTCCGTGGAATGCCCGCATCGTTATCTCTTTGTTCCCCCGGCGAGTGGGCCTGGTCAGGAGGGAAAAAACACACACAGACACAATTAATCGTCGATTTCCCCGAAAATATGGGAAAATATGGGAAGTGGTGGGGAAGACAAAAACCCAGAAAATATGGGAAACCAGTTTCCCTTCACCTGGGCCCTACACCCTGCTCCTGCTGCATTCCTGAGATGGTGGCTGGGGCGCTGGTGGTCGAGACGGTGTGCAGAAGCAGTGTGAAACATGAAGGCCTGCGCCTGAGGTTCCTGGCTACCGCTTCGCAGTCCAAGTGGTGGTTCGCGGGGCGGGGTCCTGCGCGGGATTGTCCGCAAGACAGCCGCCGTGCTGGCTGCGACACGGTGGTTCGGCCTGCGCAGGGGGAGCTTGCAGCTGCGCAGGCAGACGACAGTCACCGCAGAGGGCCTTTCATGCCAACCAGGACCCCCTCCCCCTG